CACCTGTGCCGCCCGGGGAGCGAGGCCGGAGAGCGGCCTCCCTCGGGTCCGTCTGCAAGGCCGCGCCTCGCCCGGGGCCGGGCCGTCGCCGCGTTCGGGACGGAGGAGTGTCTGGTCAGCGCCTCCGCGGCGTTCTCCCCGGGGCGGGGCCGCCCGCGAGCCCCCAAGCACGGAAACCCGAGGCCCGCAGCCCCCGAGCGGCGGGCGACCCCGACGGAGGGCGGGCTGGGGCCGCGCACTCACCGTTCGCTGCCGCGGGCGCCTGGGGGGCGTCTACATGCCGGGCCGACCCCGCGGGCCCCGCCGCTGGCCGTCGCTACCTGGCCCTCCGCGCCCCAGCCGCCCGCCGCCCCATGGCAGCCCGGACCGGCGCCGGCGCCGCCGAGCAGCAATGCGCCGCGGTGGCTCAGTGCGCAGGCGCGCCAGGCAGGCATGCGCGGTGCCCCGCACGTGGGCCGACCCTTTCAACCTCCAGACCGCGAGCACTGGGACGCCCCGCACGGGCGGGCCCCCGAGGGGGTCACCCCTGGTTCCGTTTCCACTCACCTGCCGCGGCGGGAGCCCGCGTCCAGTCTGCCTGTCCGCCAGCCTTCCTCGGGTAGTCCGCCTCACCTCCGCCTCGGGCGGGGTCTCCCAGATCGCGGGGGCGGGGGCGGGCCTGGCGGTGGAGCCAGGTGGGCCGGCTTCGGGAAACGCAGGTGCCCTAAGGAAGGGCCCCGCCCTCCGCCTTTCCTTAATTACCAGAGTGTGTCACGACGTGGACCAGACTGGATTTGGGAGCTGAAATTTCCTCTGGCTGTTGGTCGCCAGGGGAAGCTGCCCTTGGCCTCCCACGGCTACCCGGGACTCGCTCCCACTTAGAGCGGTTCGGGGCACACTGCGCACCGACCACGACCTCAGACATCTGGGCCTGGGATCCCAAGCCCAGCAGTAAGGGACCTGGTGACCTGGGGCTCCTCGACGGTGACCTTGGAGCAATGTCGTGCGCTCCCCACAGGCTGGAGGGCCAGGGAGTTGGGGAAAAGTGGCCAAGGCCGAAGGAGCTCACTTAGACTTAGTAACATCTGGTGGGACTGCGGACCCCAGGCAGCGTGGTTACTCGTTGAGTTGATGGCTCCCCACCAGTAATGCATTCAGGCCTTACTGTCCCCACAGAGGGTCAGGCTCATCCTCGCTTCTAGGTCGCTATAGGGTAAATGGACAGTGTTCTGCCAGGTGCCCTGTCACCAGCTGGCTCCCCAAGAGTCTTCCAGCCATTGTTTTCTAAGGTTCATTACTTGTCTACACTCTCCAACGGGGATGGCCTGGCCCCAACCCCGTATGGACTTGAGTCGTCTGCCGGCCTGCCCCACACCTGCATACCTGCTGTTGGTCAGGCTGCTCTAGTGCCGGAATTCCTGGGCTTGTATCCAGAAACTTGGAACACGGCTTGGCAGAGGCTCCCTGGAGAGCACAGAGTGGCTGGCTGGGACCTTGATGCATTGGGCAGCACCCAGGGTGACTGGCAAGGGGGGCAAGGATAGCAGGAATTTGGGGGGTATTTCTTAAACTGCAATTTCCCCATGGGTTATTTTGTAACCCCAACCACTTCCCCAGAGTGACCTCCAGCCACACCCACTGAACTCTTGAGCTGTGTTGACATGTGATTATTAGCGTGACAATGCTCACTAGCCATGGAATGCCTCAGACCTGCAGAAAATCTACTGGGGTGGGGGCAGTCACTGGCTTCTACAGAGCACCCAGGTCATCTACCAAGTGCTATTCCTGTGTTCTCCCTCTAAGGGAACTTCCAGTAGGTGCTCCAGTGTGTAACCATGGAAACCCTTTGTCTACCCAGGACTCCAGGCAGGAGCATGGGGGCAGGGCAGGTGAGCACTCAGAGGAGGATGGATGACCCCTGGGCTGAGTGTCCATTCACTGTGCCTGTAGGATGCCTGACATGACCCTGGCTGGGTCACCTCCGCCAGCAGTAGCCCAGCAGCAGCGGTTACCCATTGCTGAGGTGAGAAAGCAGGGCTGTGGCTCCCTTCAGCTGACCCTGATTGTGCAATTTCTCAGAGAAGGTTCCAGCTTAGACTCTTGTGATTCAGGAACCAAGAGCTCTCACACCCACTGCCCACCCTGGCACTGACAAGTAGTAACTAAGGCTGAGGCTAGGAGGGACGCCTCAGGGGACCTGAAGATTTCTAGAGGCAACCAGGGCTGAGTCCAAAAGTAAGGGTTACAGCTGGGTCACAGAGGCTAGGACAGGGTGGAGATCTGGCACAGAGGCTCTGCCCCAGGGACTGGGGGTGAGGGCTGCAGTGGGTGTGCCCCTGACTGAGCTGCCAGCGCTCCAGGCAACTGTGGACTTTGTTATTTGGTGTTTGCTTTGTTCTTTCTTACTGTTCACTCTTCAGACCTCACCACACCTGGACCCCCATCTCTTTGAGGGCTTAGTGATGGATGCCAGCAGGGACAGGGTAAGGTGGAGGGAGGAGGAACTGTGGCTTTGCCCTCAGAGTTGTACTCTGTGATGGTGGGGGGTGGCCTTCAGGTTGCAGGTCTCCGGAGTCCTGCTCCCAGCTCTAGGGGATAAGGGAAGTTGGCCTCAGCTCCTCTGGCTGGGGCAAACGGAGAAGTGGCTGGGAGAGGCTGAGGCTCCAGGTGGAGGAAGTGTCACTGGCTATGCTGAGGTCATCTTGTTTAGTGTCCAGCTAGTTTCCTGGCCTGAGAGCCAGAACTGGGGCCCTCCTCAGGGGGCAGTGTTGGGGTTGTCCACTGGACGGTCTCCTGTTTGGGGGACAATCCTTCTCCCTGAATACCTGCCATGTGCCAGGTACACTGAGGATTCAGCACAGAACAGGCAAATCAGGTGCTCACCTCCTGTGGCACAGCAGGGGAGGGGTTGGGGTGGGCTTTTCAACAGGAGTGCCAGAGGACAAGCATCCCTTCCCCCAGCAGAGGGAGCAGCAGGCGTGGGTCCCTGAGGCAGTGGCACCTGCGTCTGGGGTGGGTGGGGGTCACGGATAGCAAAATGGGCTTGCTGGAGTAGTCACCTAGAATCGGGACTCACTGCATTCTCACCAGATCCCTGCCTAATAATTTGCCTAGATCACCCACCGAGGAGGAGGAACAGAGTTTGCCAGTGGTCCTCTAGCCTGGGCCCCATCCAGGAAGCAGGTCTGGGAGGAGCTAGGGAGGTAGAGAGGCAGGGCAGCGGGGATAGGAGATAAGGGATGGATGGTGGGGCCCAGGGCAGGCCCAAGCTGGAGGTCAGTGGAGGGGGAGGGTCCCGCTAAGGCTGAGAGGGAGCAGCCTACAGCTGGGCAGGTGGCCACAAGTCACTCCACAACCTGTGTGCACCTGGGACAGTTGTGCCCCCAGTATGTAGGGCAGGGCCAGGTGACTCTGACTCTAGGAAGGAGAGGGGACTGTGTGGCCCAGACTCCCACCCTGCCCTGGAGGTGCCAGGGTAAAGGTTCTAGCCACCCTCGCTGGGTAACTGCAGTCCCTACAAATGCGGGTCTTGTGCCTGCAGTGCACACTGGCTGGCGTGCAGGCTTCCCTTCCAGACCACCCTGGCTAGTGTGCACTGCCCACATGTGCCTGTTTTGCTAAGAAAGGGGACAGTGGCCTGCATAGCACCAGGATGCCCAGGAGGGGCCCTTGGCTCCAGGAAGGAAGGAGTGGACCTCATGCCATCTGCCTGGCCTGCCACTGCCAGGCTGGAACAGGCCAGGAGACTGGAGTTGCAGAAGGAAGTGCAGTCAGGCGTAGGGTGGCCAATGTGGGCCCAGGCTGCCTCTTGCCTCTGGAGCCCTTGCCTCCCAGGAACTGGGGGCTGCCAGCCAGAGAAGACCTCAGGTGCTCCCTGGCATTTATTAAGGTTTTTCTAAGACAGCTGGCAGGGTTAAAGTGTAAAGAACGTGTGAGTCTATTAAGATCGGTTTATTTCAGGGAAAAGTGGGGGAGGAGGAGGGAGCCAGGCACACCACCCACCTGCTCATCCTGCCAATCACTCTCACCTGGCAGCTAGGGGCACCCCCGGGCACCAGCCTGGGGACAGCGCTGCACTGTCACTGGAGAATGGGGGAGGTGGGCACCTGTCGTACAGTCAGAAATGTGCCCAAAGGCCAAGACAGGAAAGATCTGAGGCTGTCTGTGGTCCTTAGCACCCCACCTGGAGCAGTAAAGGGGAAACCCAATACCAAGTGCCACCCTCCCTGCCACTCTCATCTTGTTAGGAAGGGAGCTCCCAGACTAGAGCACTGCCTGCTAGTATTCTTTTCTTCACTTATTTATGAAAGGCATCAGGCTACCCATCAGCCCTCTGAGTAGCTGGGACTACTGTGCCCATTGTGCCCAGCCAACTTTTCTATTTTTTGTAGAGCTAGGGTCTGGCTCTTGCTTCAGGGTGGTCTTGAACTCTCAGCCTTGAGAGATCCTCCCATTCCCCAGAGGGATAGATTATTGAAGCACAAGTCTGGCCCTAGAAGACAGCCAGTAACACAGGTTTTTCCATACCGTTGTGGCAGATGCTCTTTTTTTTCTTACCAGATGGAATTTTTTTTTTTCAGACTTAAGATGCACACTGTTTAGTCGAAAGGAAAGCTCATCTCTGGAGTGACATGTCCTCAGATATTTTAGGGGAGGAGAAATAGGAAGAGGAAGTCGGGGCAGCTAGCTTAGTGAAGGCTGAGAGGAGGAGGAGGAGGGCAGGGCAGATGCCCTGAAGACTGCCAAGGTGCCTTGGGCAAAACCCCAAGGGCAGGAAGAAGCTGCCTGCTTTGGAAGGTCTGGGGGTGGGGGCAGGTGGACTTTAGTGCTTCCCAGGCCTATTAGGGGGACTTCCCAGGAACCTGAGGTGCAGACACCCCTTTCATGGAACCTGTGACATGGGAATGAGCCAAAGCCGTGCCTGGAGTATAGTCAGGCCTCAAGAGTGGCAGGGCATCCAGGGAAGGGCATTCTCGCTCCACAAACTGAAATGGTCCTGCAAATAACCACACCAGAGTCCCTCATGTCAAACTGCTTTATTACATCTTAAATAACAGTACAGTTTAATATAGTATCTATCTTGCATCCAGCTTCCTTGCAGTACACTGACTTTAAAATTAAATACAAAAGGTGAAAAGGGTAAAGGGTGCAGAGAGCTCTACAGAGGTGTTTGATGGAAAGAGAAGGGGTTTCGTTTTTATACTCTTTGCCAGATCCAGGCCTACCGCACGGTCACAGCACAGTTTTGTACAGGGTGCTGCAGAGGACAGGACGGAGAAGCCACTACTGCTGCTATGAGGGAGGCTGGGCTGGGCTGGGCTTGGGGGGTCCACAGAGTGCTGCTGTCCAAACGCTGCTGCTGAGCACTGGGCTTGAAAAGAAAACCGAGAAATCTGCATCTGATAAAAATGATCTGCCTCAGATGCCAAAGGCTTGTTCTGTGGGAGAGACAGGCCCTGAGGAGCTGATGGGCGGGTGGGCAGCACTCCGTCCCCTTCCCTTTCCCTCCCCACCCTCAGAATCCAACAGCAACTGTTTGCAACAGGACTGTTTTTGTTTAAAGAAATAAGACAGTGACTTGTCCCGCTACTCAGGCGCGTGGCACTGCTCACAGTGCTGCTCCCGGTACGTGTGCACATAGCAACAGCAAGAAGTGGATAGAGCCGCAGTGGTTACACTTTAGGAGGTTATTTCATAAAAGAAAAAGAACATCTAAGGACTGAGTCCTATATGCACTTTTGAGCATTTCTACAGCATGCGATTCTAAGAGTAAACCCACCCAATATGGCAAACAATCATTTTTTTTTAAATTTAACTTAGAAAGTCTGAGACCATTATTTTCAAAACATTGATTTGTACATTGTTTCATACACAAATAACCGACCGACTATCCAAGCACAGGACAGGCATCTCTCAAAAACGGGTTCCTGGTAGTTGAGGGTGGGGTGGGTTAGGGTTAGGCTGTTACAAACTTCCCTCCAACTGCACAAGGAAACCCAAGGTGAGATGAAAACTAAATTGGACGGCAGAGGAGCTGGGCCAGGAGGAAAGTGGGTGCTGGATCTGAGTTTGCTATTCAGAAAAGGTATGGGACTCTTTGATCTCACATTGAAGACCATCGACAGGACGTGCTTGGTTACTTCACATGTTCTTTTCTACGCGGTGTTTGTGTGCAACAATCATTTGTGACATTAGACCAAAAAAACAAAACAAAACAAAACCAGGGACTAAATTTACATCACTGACAACACCAGAGAGGCCGCCCTAGACTCTCTGGTTCTGTTTATCTGTTGGACATAAAGGAAGATATTTAAAAAAGGAAATATGAGTGCTTCCAAAATCCTGCTACAAACATGACTTGAAATTTAGAAATGATTACAAGATAAAGTCCTCAACTTGTTTTGCATGAATATCACAAAACAGGATCACTGGTCTAAAATTCAACTAGTGAAGAGGTGTGTCTGTCTCACAATTATACTCAGGTTTACCTTCTGGTTAATATTTTTATTATAGTATTTCCTTTTAAAATTCAAGACAAAAAAGAAAACAAAGACGATGGCCCCGGAAGGAATGCACAATTTGTTTAGTTTACAGCACAGAGATCCTTCTCTTAATGGGAATTGTGCTCTTGGTTTCAGCAATAAGTGAAGGAAAAAAGATCTTGCCCTTTTGTAGTTCTGAGGGGAAGTGTAGGGTGTCCACATTAGTACGGTTGGATAGGATATGCTCTCACTGTAATGCGTCAAGGGTGGAATGGTCTTCCAGTCTCCGTGGCATCCACATGCTGTTTTAAACAGAGTTTAAATGTAAAAAGAAACATCTAAATTCAGATATACAGTTGGTGTCACTGCTATTTCACTGCTAAATCAGCATTTGCAGATGAAGGCACTTTATTTCAGATTTCCATAAATGTCTGCCTTTCCATGACAATTCCAAATTAATGCTACTGCTAACATTAATCTAGAAGCCTTAAATCCCAACATCTGTTCTATGGGAAGAAACTATTCTCAGGAAGGGCATCTGGGGTGCTCTTACCTCCTGGAGTTAGTTCCAGATCTTCAAGAAGCTGTCCCAGGATCCTGTCGCCACAGCCATGCCGTCGTCAGTCACCCCTAGGCAGCTGACGCGGTTGTCATGTCCAGCCAACACACCTGGGTACAGACCACGACAAAGTCAGAAGCCCAGAGATGCCTCACCAAGACAGGACTGGGTGACTCCTCTATGATGGGGTGAGACCTTCCTCACAGTAAGAAAGTGGAGAATTGGACGCTGAACTGAAGTGCACAGCCAGTCTAGTTAAGGGGTGCACAAATGAACACAGCTGTTCTCTACAGACAGTCTACAGCCACAGGGTGGTATTCACGGAAAATACACGTACACTCAAAGCCCGATCTTAAGTTGTTTAAAGGCAAGTTCATTAAAAAAGGAATGACAGGCTCAGCACCTATGGCTCAAGTGGCTAAGGCGCCAGCCACATACACCTAAGGTGGCGGGTTCAAATCCAGCCCGGACCCGCCAAACAACAATGATGGCTGCAACCAAAAAATAGCCTGGCATTGTGGTGGGCGCCTGTGGTCCCAGCTACTTGGGAGGCGGAGGCAGGAGACTCGCTTGAGCCCAGGAGTTGGAGGTTGCTGTGAGCTGTGATGCCATAGCACTCTACCCAGGGGGACAGCTTGAGGCTCTGTCTCAAAAAAAAAAAAAAAAAAGGAATGACAAGAAAAATCTGTAATTCAAAGGCACCCACACGTTAACACTGAGGGCCACTTGAACTGACTTCTCAGCACTCAAAAAATGAAATAAAAACCACCATCAAAAAAATCAAAACTAGGTCATGCCAGTGGCTCATGCCTATAATCCCAGGACTCTGGGAGGCTGAGGCAAGAAGCTCCCATGAGCTCAGGAATTCAAGACCAGTGTGAGCAAGACAGACCCTGTCTCTACTAAAAATAGTCAAAAAAATAAAAAAACCACTAGTCAGGCGTCATGGTGGGCACCTATAGTCCTATCTACTCAGGAGGCTGAGGCAGGAGGATCACTGAGTCCCTGAGTCTGAGGTTGCTTTCAGCTAAGCTGAGGCCCTGGCACTCTAACCTGGGCAAGAATCAGACAGTCTCTCAAAAAAAAAATTGAAAGGGCAGCGCCTGTGGCTTAAGGATTAGGGCACTGACCCCATATGCTGAAGATGGTGAGTTCAAGCCTAGCCCTGGCCAAAAAAATTAAAACCACCCTAATCTCCATCTCAAAGCAACAATCTATACCAGGAGAATATGTGGGTGTGGGCTGTTTCTCTTAGCAGGTAAGAGGCCCCTGGGGCTGGCACCCAGCAACTCCAAGAGTCCTGGCATAGACAACTCCCAGAGCCATAACAATCCATATCTTCCCAGAAGGATCTGAAGGGTCATTTCAGACAAATTCTCCCACCTCTGCAGCTACTGGAGTTACAGCTGGGTACAGGCCCAAATGTTCTCCACAAACACATGGGGGCTGGGTTCCACAGCCCTCAAGGCACAGTGACTAAGGGATTTGGTCAGAAAAAGCTTCAATTTGGCTCACTTACACCAGGGTGCAAAAGAGAGGTGTTTATCTGAGAGATGGGACTAGAACCCACCCAGAAGCAGGAGGCCATGCTAAGGCCCCAAGATTGGAGGCATGCACCCTTTTTCTATCCACCAAAGCACTGAGATGAACAGGGTTAGAAGATTCTAAAAATGTCAACATTTTCCTAATTCAGGAAATGTCTACTTTTTGAAAAAAAATATGTTTTGAGACATAGTTTCTCTTGCCCCTGGTAGAGTGCTATGGCATCATAGCTCATAGCAACCTCAAATTCCTAGGCTCAAGTGATCCTCTTGCCTCAGTTTTCCAAGTAGCTGGGACTACAGGAGCCTGCCATGATGCCCAGCTTTTTTTTTTAAAGATGGGGTCTCACTTTTGCTTGGACTTGTCTTGAACTTGTGAGCACAAACAATCCACCTGCTTCAGCCTCTTAGAGTGTTGGGATTACAGGCATGAGGGACTGTGCCCAGCCCAACCAAATGTCCACTTTTAATAAGAAAGTTCTCATCTTGGCTCGGCGCCTATAGCTCAACCGGCTAAGGGGCCAGCCACATACACCTAAGGTGGCGGGTTCGAATCCCCAGCCCGGACCCGCCAAACAATAATGACGGCTGCAACCAAAAAATGGCCGGGCGCTGTGGCGGGTGCCTGTGGTCCCAGCTACTTGGGAGGTGGAGGCAGGAGACTCGCTTGAGCCCAGGAGTTGGAGGTTGCTGTGAGCTGTAATGCCACGACACTCTACCCAGGGGGACAGCTTGAGGCTCTGTCTCAAAAAAAAAGTTCTCATCTTTTCTACAGTGTTTATTTTCATACACTTAACAATGACACATTTCCTTTTTTTTTTGAAGACAGATTCTGACATCACCCTGGGTAGAGTGCCATGGCGTCACAGCTCACAGCAACCTCAAACTCTTGGACTTAAGCGATTCTCTCGCCTCAGCCTTCCAAGCAGCTGGGACTACAGGTGCCTGCCCCAACGCCCAGCTATTTTTTGTTGTAGTTGTCATACTTGTTTAGATGGTCTGGGCCTGGCTCGAACCTGCCAGCCTCAGTGTATGTGGCTGGCGCAGTAACCACTGTGCTATGGGCGCCGAGCCCACACTTGGTTTTGATATGCCAAATTCAGACTACAAAAGGAATAGCCCAGCCTTCCCTCTGCTCTGCACTTGGGTGTCAGAGGACTGAGCAGCTGGATCCTCTCCCACATACCATGCCCCTTTTTCCCCTCACAAGAACGGGTGGGAAGACCCCATGGACCTGGCTCACCTGGAGAGCCAGAACCTCGACACCCAGGCTAGGCTGCCACCTTTATCTCTGTGGGGCCACAACACAGCCTGATACAGACATCTGATAGTGCCTTGCAGATGCTGTCTGACACCCAGGAGACATCGAACCCTGTGGTGCCTACCTGCCCGGTCGGCTTTGAGTGCATCCCACACGTTGCAGTTGAAGTCGTCGTACCCAGCAAGAAGTAGGCGCCCGCTCTTGGAGAAGGAGACGGAGGTGATCCCACAGATGATGTTGTCATGGGAGTAAGTCATGAGCTCCTGGTCTGCACGGAGGTCAAACAGCCTGCAGGTCGCATCATCCGAGCCGGTGGCAAATGCATTGCCATTTGGAAAGAACTGGAATGAGAAAGCAAATCAATACAGCATGTAAATGCTCAAATACAAACACAGGAGATGCGGGTGCCCAACAGTAGGGCTGCTGACATAGTAGGCAAAGATCAGTAAGGATCCCAGAGAGCTCCTTGGGGGCAAAGACAGAAAAGGACTTGCATCGAGGAAGCTCACATCACTGTGACCTGACAGTATGGTTGTCGTCCCCAAAGAAGAGATTTTACTCCAATAGAGTAATGAGAACGTGGCCAAAACTGAAAAACACATGTGTCTCTATAGCTACCAACTGTCAGGCTAATTTCATGGAGGAAGGAGGGAAGGGGCTGTAGTCAGCGCTGCATCAGAGCTATGCCCCAATAAACCAGACATACACCTCCTAATCTCTAGGCCAGCGCTGAAAACAGTGCCTAACTGTCGGGGTGCCAGAGAACAGGGAGCTTTCTCGGGTCAGCTAATCCCTGACCTGGAGGATGTACTGGTGGCCTGTGTTATTTTATCTGTTTCTAGTTAGAGGTAAGCTCCAAGTGCTGGTCATCTCTAGGGGGAGGAACAAGGCCTGGCACACAACAGACCACTCCTGGATATCTGGGAGGTGAACGGTCAACATAGATCAGATATCTTCTACAATCATACCAGATCCCAGTAGGGTTTTCTACATGGAGTTTTCTGTATACTCATCTCTAAATTAAAGTGTATTTGCATAGAAGAGAAGAGAGAAAACATCTAATTGAAAAATAGTTCAAAGTTTAGCAATCCAAAGCACAGCAGAGCCAGTGCAGCCCTGTCCCCATGCCCTCACCCCCGACTCACACAGATGGCATTGATGTCAGACTCGTGGCCAGTGAAAGTTTGTCGGCACATCCCTTCTCGAACATCCCAGAGCTTGGCTGAAGCATCACAAGCACCAGAGACAAATAGTCTGGTGTCAGGAGCAAGAGAAAGGCTCATGACATCTCCAGTGTGTCCAGTGAATGTGGTTGTCTGCTGGCCTGTCTCGATGTCCCACAGGGCACTGGAGCAGGAGCAAGAGACAATGGAGGTCACAGCCTCAAATTCTCAGATGGCTGCTCACATGACAAACTGTCCTCCAGACCACCCAGACTGTACTCTTAAGTTAATCCCAGCACACAGGGAGCCTATTAAAGTAGAGACACTATAGGTTGCAGTCCACACTTTCAGGCCACAGAAGGGCTTGTGGAGGGGCAATAAGGACCTCCTGGAAGGCCCTGGTTAGTGGGGAGGACACTATGCTACCTGCAGTTAATTCCTCCATAACCCTGTGGGGTCTCCACATCAGCAGCCCACTTCCCCAGGGGACTTAGAAAAGGCATAAGATAACAAGGCCCGGCAAACAAATGGCTCAAAGCAATTTGAGGTCCTGATGCCCTTTCTTAGAGTCACAAATGAGAGAGCAGGCATTTAAAGGTTACACATAGTATTCCATTGTGTTTCTGCTTAATAGGATGTCCAAAGCACCCTGGCAGGAGCCGGGCTATATAAGGGAGGCTATGAAGGTGTGGATCCTGTGCTTTAGCCCATAGAACACACTGCCACTGAAAACTCCAGTTCATTTTAGACTCAGAGGAAAACCTGGCAGGGCCGAGCAATGCAAATCCAGTCGGATGATTCTGACACGCTGTATGGGAGTTTAATGTCTAGGCCCAAGGGACTGCAGAGAAGGAGCAAGATACCGATGGAAGTCTGAAAATACCGAGTAGTGAATAAATTGCTTTAAAAATATCTTCTAATAAATAAAGTCTTCCCAAGATTGGCAGTCAAGATTATAAATCTTTTATAAACAGATGGATATTAAAAAACACCTTATAATATTATGGATCTGTACTGACAAGATGGCCAAAGGCCCACATTTCAGTGAAGCCCACCTGACCACGTGCCTGGTGTCTGTGCCCCAGGCCAGCTCCAGGCACCAGATCATGCCTAAGATGACCAGGAAAACCCAGAAGGTCAGTTGGAGCCTAAAATGACTTTTTTTTAAGGAACTATCTGGTCATTTAATTTATGTGCTTTGCCACCACAAATGAAAAAATATTCTGGAGTTTATTTAACTGGATTTCTACCTACCTGCTAGACAAAAACTTCAACAATTAAGAAGTCTGATACAAAGGCTGGGCTTGGTGGCTCATGCCTATAATCCCAGCACTTGGGAGGCTGAGGCAAGTGGATTGCCTGAGCTCACACGTTCAAGACCAGGCTAAGCCAGAGTGAGACCCCATCTCTAAAAATAGAGATGAGGCAAGGCTCACTTGAACCCAAGAGTTTGAGGTTGCTGTGAGCTAAGACGCCACTGGCACTCTACCAAGGGTGACTAAGTGAGACCCTGCCCCCCCCAAAGAAGTCTGATATAATTCACTTGAACTGTAACACCTGTAGCTTTTAAGCTGTGCTCATCATCTATGACATGGTACTACCAGAAAGGGATAACTTATGTCCACCCAACTCCCCCCAAAATCTATAAAACATCACCTAGGCAGGTACAAAAATGGAGCAACAAAAGAGCAGGTGCTATATACATAAATGTAGCTTAATTACCTGTACCTTCATTTTTAGTTGGTCAAAATTCAACTTATACGAACAGCACTATGAATACACACATTATTACTCTGTGCTTTGAATCTTTTTTTTTTTTTTTTGGAGACAGAGCCTCAAGCTGTTGCCCTGGGTAGTGCTGTGATATCACAGCTCACAGCAATCTCCAACGCCTGGGCTCAAGTGAGTTTCCTGCCTCAGCCTCCCAAGTAGCTGGGACCACAGGCACCTGCCACAATGCCCAGCTATTTTTTGGTTGCAGCCGTCATTGTTATTTGGAGGGCCCAGGCTGGATTCGAACCCGCCACCTTAGGTGTATGTGGCTGGCACCTTAGCCACTTGAGCCACAGGCGCTGAGCCTGTGCTTTAAATCTTAAGGCCATTTCAAATTATAGACAGCCTAATTCATGTCAAGAATCTTCCTTCCAATATGTCTAGACACAACCAGTGTGACAGAGCAGTCTCAGAGCACACTGCTTGCCCTGGTTCAGGTGCTCACCATGTGGTGTCTCCAGAGCTGGTGACGATCTGATTGTCATCCAGGAACCGGCAGCAGGACAAGTAACCTGCAAAGAGCAGACCCAGAAGGTGACCCAACCGACCAAGCCCAGCTCAGCAGTCTTGCAAACATAAAACATTCACTGGCAGAACAGAAGCACTACGTCTAGCCTAAGGCAAACACCTCATCAGGTACCTTCTGCTTTGTCCTGTGTCTGGGAAGAATAAATAAGCAGTAAGTCCACTGCACTGCTGGTAAGAATGAGAGCCTGGGTAGGCAAGAACAACACCAGGACGGGAAAAGGCAGGTCAGGATAGCGCTTCCCACAGAGCCCACACCCATGAGACACTGGCCACTCATCTGCCTATCTATCAGCAAATCACAGCCTGGGGCGCCCTTCCTGCTACCTTGTTTGCTGGTTCACTTAACTCCTTCAACAGAAGCTGCCCAATGATGGCCAGGGCAGCACTCTAAATGCTGGATACATTATCCTTCAACAGAAGGGGCTTCTTGCTTGCCAGAACCTTTACACCCCAGTGGGGAGAAGGAAAACTACTTCAAGAGCCCGTTAGGAGAGTGAGGGAGGGAGAGGTAAGGCAAGGGTCTCATGAGACAAGCAGGAAGCCAAGGGTCAGGGTGGCTGAAGGACAAGACCAGTTACACTGCAGCAATACTGTGGATCTCCAGTGGGGGAAGTGCTGACGAGCACACAGGGGTGGGCTTTTTCAAAGACAGCAGCTGTGACATCTACTCTGTGTAGGACATGTTCTGTGTCCCTGAGCACCCTACCTACTCCCACAGTGAGGGTGTGGGATGCCAGACAGTGGGGTGTTAAGGAGGTGGACATAGTGGAAACAGAGCTAACCAGCCTTGGAATGAGGAAGGTAAAAACAAAGTATCCACACACTATGATTTCATGTTATTAACCTGTTTACTATTATTTTGCACTTTTGTGCACTGATCTCAGCTCTGAAATTTACCGTAAGAACCAAAAGCATAGGGTCAACAAACCTGGGTCTGCCCAGCACTGGTGGCAGATAGGCCTAACCTGTCACAGTGGCACTGGCAGTTCTCAAGAACCGTGTAGACAAGGTGCTTGATGAAATGCTTTCCTTATGACCACATCCAGAGTCATGTGACACTGAGTCAGTAAATCACACAAAGAAACCCACAGAGGGTTCTGATGCAGAAAGTGCACAAATTATGAATTCCAACTGTCTCTTTAATGAGCTTTACTAGACTGGCTCTCACAGGAAAAATACTAGCAATGACAGATTCCAAAATATTAACTCTGTCCCTAGACAAAGAACATACAGCCACAGGCCACACCCACAGGGACATCAGTGGCCACATGGGTGAACCAAAGACCAGCGTAGAGGAGGAGAGTTCTGCACAACCCAGTTCTCTATTGTAGACCCCTCAGTCTGGCAGCTTGTGATGCCTGGAGGATGGGGCAAGGGGAAATCTAGAAAATACTGTATCACCAGACTTAGGGGGAAGAAGATCACACAGGCATGTCCCTTCTCTGTTCAGTGCTCACCAAAAACGCAGAGCTAAGGATAGCCACAGGGCCACTCATTCTAAGAATACAACCACGGACTTGAGAAACCACTTGCCTGCAAGTGTAGGATTTTTACTTTGGCAATGTTTAAAATAAATAGTGAAAAACCAGGAACTGCCTAATTATCCCAACAATAGGGAAAAATTGGTGCACTATACAATGGAATCTTCTAAAGTTCCTTAAAGATAACATTATAGCTCTGGGTGAGATTATTGGCTAAAAACATAAAAGAAGATAACTCAAAGTTTATTTCTAAAATTTCTACAATGAATGTACATCTACAGTTTTAGCCCTCCTGCCTACACTCTGGGGAGTGCCCCATCTTGGAGATCTCACCCAAGGAAGGAGCAGAGGCCACTGCAGCAGCCAGCAGGTGATCGCTGGGAAGAAGTCAGCGATGACTAGGCCAGGGCACTGGTCAGTCATGCAGTTTAAAGAGCCTTTAAAGAGCCTCTGTGGTATACCAGGTTTGGCTCCAAGGAACAAAAACTAAAACAAAACATTCTAGAGCTTTTGGCTTGGTGCCCATAGCTCAGTGGGTACGGTGCCAGCCGTGGGTTCGAGCTTGGCTTGGTCCTGCTAAAAACAATGAGAACTGCAACCAAAAAATAGCCAGGTGTGGCTGTAGTCCCAGCTACCTAGGAGACTGAGGCAAGAGAATCGCTGAAGCCCAAGAGTTTGAGGTTGCTGTGATTTGTGACACCACAGCACTCTCCTGAGGGCGACATAGTGAAACTCTGTCTCAAAAAACAAAAACAAAAAAAAAATGTTCTAGAGCTTTTGTTGTAAGGAGGGAAAGAACTTTCAGCCTACAACTGGAAGGAAAGGCTCCCAGTCCCTACTGAGGCATACAAAGGTTCTGAAGAACAGATGTCCTGTCCTTCAAAAAGTTCAGTGAGGGCCAGGCACAGTGCTCACACCTGTAATTCCAGTCATATGGGAGGCTGAGGCAGGAGAATCCCTTGAACTCAGGAGTTGGAGACCAGCTTGAATAAGAGTGAGACCCTGTCTAGACTAAAAAATAGAACAACTAGCCAGGCATCCTGGTAGGCACCTGTAGTTCCAGCTACTTAGGAGGCTGAGGCACCAGGATGGCTTGAACCCAGGAGTCTGAGGTTGTTGTAAGCTATAATGACACCACAGCTTTCTACCCAGGGTGACAGAGTGAGACTCTGTTTCAAATAAACAAAAAAAGAAGTTCAGTGAAAAGAAAAGGAAAAAGATAATGAAGTAACTTGAAGATGTGAAAGTGAGAAATGCTAAAGAACTTTGTTTTTTTAAGAGGAAGATTTATGTTGAACAAAGAAAAAGCTTATAAAATGTTTTGCGAGAGGTAGTAGACCAGAGGAAAATACTACGTACAAGCAGACTTTCTAGAAACCTCTCAGCTCCATTAATGGCCGCCCTGGTCCCACAGGTGCTAGAGCCACATGGCCTTGGATGCTGACAGCCCCTTACCTGTCTGGAAAAGGCACCTGGGGATCCACCAGAAGCTATAGGGCTGGTGAGAAGCAGGAAGGGGCTCTATTCTGGCCAGGGAAATTGTTTCCCTGGTAGGGCTAAGCTGGAAGGATAGCAAGGATGGTCAGAGGGGTGACACAGAGGAACACCAGGAAGGCACCACAACCCTTCACAGGGCTCTCAAGGCCCTGCCCCTCCATGGCAGTCCATGACTGTGAGGAGAACCAGTGGGAGCTAGGTGCCAGGACTATAACAACAAAAAGCCTAACATACGTGTCACATTTCACTAATAGCCCTGTTGGGACTCCTGAAGTGGACTTTATGGATAGACAACATCTTCTCTTGTGTCTGTCAGAAGAAAATCCATTATGGATATATATATATATGTATGTATGTATGTATATATATAAAATGCCCTACTTCTCACTACACAAAGAAACTTGGCCTAAAAAACTTAAGTTTGAGTCACTACAGTGGTCTCCAGCAGAAAGGAAGCCACTGACAACCATGCAGTGCTGTACTGGGAAGACCTCTGGCCAAACTTCCAGTCAGAATGCTCATGTCTGTGGCCATCCTGATCAGAATAATTAGCAAGGGTAAATGTGTCTATACTTGTTTTTAGAGTTTTTAGAAAGGACAAGCCTCTAAGAACAGTGTCAAGTCTTTCTTTGTTAACCCTGAGGGATTTGCTTTGGGAATAATCTCTGAGACTAAATAGTCAGAAATTAGTGTTTGAAGAATCAATTTCAAATTTTCACCAAAACAGAACTTGAAAAGTTCATTCTATCTGTAATTTTAACATAAGATTCTCTGTGTCCCATGCGGACCCTGCCCTATATGGAAAAAAACTGCAGTACACAGCCAGTGACCAAGCACTTCATTCCTGCAAGTGACTGCAAACCAGGGGTCCTCAAACTTTTTAAACAGGGAGCCAGTTCACTGTCCCTCAGACCATTGGAGGGCTGGACTGTGGGCCCCGGGACGAGTCGGCTGCTAAGCAGGACAGGCAGTGGCGGCAAAACCACCCAGTGGGCTGGGTAAATGTCCTAGGTGGGCTGCATGTGGCTCGCGGGCTGTAGTTTGAGGACGCCTGCTGCAAACAACCCTGCCATTACACCATCCAATGACTAGTAAGGATTTGGTAAACATGCTGGGAATATCACCAGAAAGTGTCCTCTGTGTGACTAAATTTCTGAGATTTCACACCTATAGCTTAATAAAAGTTTTAAACCTCAGGCTGGGCATTGTGGCTCAACACCTATAATCCTAGCACTCTGGTAGGCTGAGGCAGGTGGATTGCTTGAGCTCACAGGTTTCATACCAGCTTGAGCAACAAGACCCTGTCTCTAAAAATAGCTGGGTGTTGTGGTGGGTGCCTGTAGTCCCAGCTACTTGGAAGTCTGAGGCAAGAGAATCACTTGAGCCCAAGAGTTTGAGGTTGCTGTGAGCTAGGGCACCCAGAACACTGAGGGCAAAAAATTGGTACTATGTCTCAAAAAAAAAAAAAAATCTAAACTTCAAGGTCCAATATGCAGACCAGAGAGAAGATGGCATAAGTGATGAACACCAAACTAATCAAGGGATCTTGAAAAGGTATGAAGCAAAGACAGGCAAATCCTCAAATCTGCCCCCTCATTGACTGGTCACACCTTTGTCCCTTAATACAGTGAGATACTAGTTGAAGTGTATCAAATTTTAACTTTTATTGATTTGAAGCTGAAAAATATATAATGTATCAAAAGTCACAAATTCTTTTTTTTTGAGATAGAGTCTCACTTTGTCACCCCTGGAAGAGTGCCTGGCATCACAGCTCACAGCAACTTCCAACTCCTGCCTGGGCTTAGGGGATTCTCTTGCCTCAGCCTCCCAAGGAGCTGGGACTACAGGTGCCCGCTACAATGCCCAGCTATTTTTTGTTGCAGTTGTCATTGTTGCTTAGCTGGCACGGGCTGGGGTTGAACCCACCAGCCTCTGTGTATGTGGCTGGCACTGTAACCACTGTGCTATGGACACTGAGCCAAAAGTCACAAATTCTTAAATAGGCCAAATGTTTACAAAAGTAACACTCTTTAGAAGAAAAAGGATATATGAAGGAAACAAAATTTCTAAAATATTCCTTCTAATACCACTTTTTCATTTTCTTTCAATAGTCTGTTAACAAATCCAACAACCTTAATTTTTTTTTTTGAGACAGAATCTCACCTTGTCACTCACAGTATAGTGCTGTGGTGTCATAGCTCACGGCAATCTCAAACTCTTGGGCTCAGGTGATCAAGTAGCTGGGACTATAGGCATCTGCCACAACACCCGGCTATTTTTTTAGAGATGAGTTCTTGCTCGTGCTTAGGCTAGTCTCAAACACGTGAGTTCAGGCAATCTATGCACCTCGGTCTTCTAGAGTGCTAGGATTACAGGTGTGAGCCATGGCGTCTGGCCTTAATTTTTATTTTTTGGGACAAAGCCTCACTCCATTGCCCTGGTAGAGTGCCATGGCGTCATGGCTCACAGCAACCTCAAATTCCTGGGCTCAAGTGATCCTCTTGCCTCAGCATTCTGAGTAGCTGAGACTATAGGTACCTACCACAGCGCTGGACTAATTTTTTTTTTTTTTGAATTTTTAGTAGAGACAAGTTCCCGCTCTTGTTCTGGCTGGTCTAATTCCTAAGCTCAAGGGATCCTCTTGCCTTGGCCTCCCAGAGTGCTGAGATTACAAGGTGTGAGCCATCTTACCCAACAACCTTAAATTAAAAATAAAAATATCTGGGAGGCCAAGGTGGGAAGATTACTTAAACCTAGAAGTTTATGATCCCATTTCTACTAAAAACAGAAAAAGAAGCCAGGTGTGGTGGTAGACATGTGTAGTCCCTGCTGCTCAGGAGGCTGAGGCAGGAAGATAACTTGAGCCTAGGAGTTTGAGGTTGCTGTGAGCTAGGCTGACACCACTACATTCCATCCAGGCAAGAGAGCAAGACTCTGTCTCAGAAAACAAAACAGAACAAAATAAAACAAAATGGAAACAGATATACTCAATCCAACTATCATCAGAATAGACTGCTATATATTAAGAA